TTGTTGTTCGAATAGCCACTGAACAGTAGCTATTTGGTATTATCGCACTGGAATGGATCAGTTTCTGGCCATGGGTTTACCATAGATAGGTTTACTACATCTGTACGCGATTGTGTGGTCCCTTAGTCGAATGGCTCTTGAAGACTCCCCAATCGTGGTATTAGCAGCTCGACTCGTGGGGCCCCGTTACAGGTCATTTGTATGACGAATACTCTATTTGCTCTTGCCCATGTATATATGTACATATGTACATACACATATATGCATATGTGTCTGTGTACTTCGCAGAGACAAAGTCAACAAGTAGAAAAAGAATGTGAGGAGGGGAGAAGGAGAAGAATAACAACAAAGCAAACTTGAAGCCGGCTCCAGGCCACAAGAACAACTCGAACAAGAAGAGAGCGCAAACCGGCGGTATGGGCAGAGAAACCACAACAAACGGCGCAGCCGCCACCGCTCTGCCGGTGGCGATGGCGATAGGAGCAGCAGCGACTTGGTTGGCCCTGAGGCTCCAATGAGTCATAGGAAGCGCTGTCCGGTCGCAGTTGATGGCGGCGCCAGCGTTACGTTACATAAGCCGAAGTTGGAGCCGAGGCGCAGACTCGGCTTTAGCTTGCCAGAGAGTCACTGGCGGCGCCACGTTCTGGCCAAGGTGTATATTAATACAGGGTAACCATGACAGAAAGAATTCGATAGAGGACGACCAACAATATTTGCAGATCGGGAATGCTAACAAAATATTGTCCTCAGCTCCATCATGGTGAGAGTCACAGTCACTGGCGGCTTGGCTTGATTAATACGATGTAAACCACTGCCAGATTTGTATGGATCTTAGAGGTGACACAAGCTTGGAGAGAGCGAAAGAGAGCCGGTAACTGGCGGCGGTTTGCTCTCTCCGCTCCCTCACTCTTTTCTTGCACTCTCACGTAATTAAAAAGTAACGGCGCTGTCAGTGACAGCTGCTATACGCGCTCAATTAAAAAGTCATTAACTGCACACACACACGTACACATGCATACACACATGCAGCCAAACAGACACTCACGCACTCTCCAGGGAGAGGGAGGCCAACGAAAAAGGAATGCGAGAAGGAATTGAGTCCGCCGTGACTGCAACTGTGATGTGATTGACACCAGCACGCAAGTACTCATCCCAACCTCCCTCGCGCACCTTGCAATTAGGAGTTGCAACTGCATGATGCAGGGCCTACCTGCGCGCCCTTTCCTACCATGCAACTGTTGCGTGTCCATAAATGCGCCATAAAACGGTCTAATCCCAGTGCAGACACTAAGCCGGCTGCAGCGGTTGCATCAGCTGTTGCGCCAAAGCTCTCGCTCTTTCTCGCTCTCTTTTTCTCCCCCCTTTGCAATGAGAGCCAACAGGCGTGCATGCGGTTTCTGCTTTTGCTTTTGGGTTCGTCTGTTTCTTTATTTTGCCATTCTCCGTGCTTTCGCCCTACTTTGCTCTCCCGACATACATATGCAGACAACTTGTGTACTGTGAAGCCTGCCCAAGACGGATGGGAAATACATAGACATATAACGCAGTCGATTCGAGAAAAAACAGTGTACCATTTTGGGTTAATATTACAAATTAACATAAGAGAGTGGGATATGGTGGCACATCTGATAATTTTTTTTGATCCGTGCACTAAGTTCCTTTCGCTATAACTTTAGCTGCCATATACTTTTATCAAAATAAAATAAGTGAAAATTCCCATTACGGATAGTCCCCATACCATTGTTTCATGAATTCCCATCGATAGTGAATATCATCAACCCCCCCCATAAGTCAAACGAACTCTAGCAGGTCCCACTGTACTTTCGAGTTGTCAGCCGTTCTCGAATCCCGCACTCCTCTGCCACTGCGTCTGATTTTCGTCTTTGCTTCGCTCTCCGTTTTCTTTATTGTTTTATTGTCAGTTTAGGGATTTGACAATTTGCTTGCTGATTTTTTATGACAATCATGTATGTAAATTTTCGGCCTGTCTTTTCTGTGTCTCTCCTCCCCCTCTGTCTGTCTCGCTCACTCTTTAGTACTCCACTCAACTCTTCCTCAAGGCCTCACACACACATACAAACACATCACAAAAAACAATCTCGCATAAATGGGTATCTTTGTGTGTTGCCCGCCGCTTGCCTCTAGCCCCCTGTCCATGTCTGTATCCATATCCACAAACACATCAACATCCACATCCCCGTGTCCGTTTGTACGAGTATCTGGGCTCCATTAGCTCTTCACCTTTTGGCTTGCGAGATTTTTAAATACTTTTGGGCTGAATCCCAGACCAGACCCAAAAGCTAACACGAAAAAAAAAGCCAGAACCCAACGTACGTACCGTACCGTACCCATGCCGAAACCCTTCCCGCAGCTATTTTTAGTTTGCTCTTTGTTGTCTTTCTTTGCTTTATTTTCGTATGCTGTGCATAATAAAAGTTGGGTTTATTAATTTTTAAAGCGTTGACAACTTTTACGAGACCTGTGACGCGGGCAATCGGCAATCCCGGCCTCAACTCGAGTCGGAAACTAGGCTAGTAGTGTAAGCTTTGCTCTGGACTGGTCCCAGCCAGGCCTGTACTGGGCTGAACTGGACTGGGGGGCCACTTAGTGTTAGTGTGAGTCAATGGCTGACTAATGCGAAATGCTAAGTTTATTAATAGGTTTTCCCTTATCGGAACACGTTAATCATATGCATTGAAACTGTAGCACAGCTGTGGGCTTGTGCCGTGGTCAGATTGGGACTTTGAATACTGTGGGAACTATGCCTAGCCCTCATCTGAAAGTCAATTAACTTGTTGAAAGCATCCAAAGGAAAGTCATAGCCAATTGAAAGGTTCTCCAAATACGCTCTCGAAGGCTGAAACTGCAACATCTGCATTAATCATCAATGGCAGCAGTATCGTATGGCTGATGCAGATAGCTGATATTTTTTTGGGATATATTCCAAACGATGATCTGCAATATTATAGGTTGGTTGCAAATTAAGAAAATCCCAAAATTTAAACTCTTCCAGCAGTACAGTCAACATTCATCATCAGCAATTGTTCCTACATACATACATATGTACATGTATGTACATATGTATATACCATCAGTATATATCTATTAATGCGGATATTAAGATGAAACTATGCCGAACCCGATTGCAAAGTTAACTAATTTTTTAAATTAATCTACAAGCAAGTTATAGCCAGCCACTTGAATGGGTTCTCCAGCTTGCCCAGAAGCTGAGTTGTATAAAATACGAGTGAGTAGAGAACTATCAAAAGTCTGCAAGATCATCATAATCATTTTCATCGGCAGCAGCGCTGTCGCTTCCCCTATATTTTTCAATATATTTTTTATACAAATAAATAAGTGAATAAAAAACGCAAAATCAAACGCAAAAACACTATGCAAAAGCAAAAACAAATGCAGCAGCAGCAGCAGCGCAGCAGAGAATAAGAAAGAGACAGAAGACGGTAGCGTCGCACATAAAACCCGGCTTCGTTATATATATAGAGCGCTCACACACAAACACATGCAGCCGCCGGAGGTAGCAACATTTTGGTGTAGCTCGGCAACATATAGCACTTTGAGAGAGGGAGAGAGAGCGTCGTTCTCTTCAACCCGAAGTCAGCCGAAGCTCAGAGTTGAGCGCAAGAGTGAGTAAAAGCCTCTCTTTGGTTTGATCGACTCTAAATTCTGGGCTCTGGCAAGGTATGGGACAATGAGAAAAAGGACCCAGCAACATTTCAAAAACTCCAGAACCTCACCCCACCGTGTTTGATCAACAATATGCTGTGAAGGCTTACAAAGTATGTTGAAAAGGGGGTGGATTTTACCCTGGCTGCGCTTCAGTTTGCTGGCCCGTTGTGCCTGCTGTCCATACCCTTATTTTCCGCAGCAACACGCGAGCAACATTTTAAGCACCAGCAACATCTGAGGGCGGGCGTATTTGAAACAAACGGCCTTGCCGCCCCAATCTTTGAAATTTGTAACGGCACAAGCAAAAAGGCCGCGGCCACCGAAACACACTACTTTTTGTGGAGCTGGAGCTGCTGTTTTAGCTTTTAGCGCCCTTTTTTGTTTAATTTTCTTACACATCAAACCAAAAAAAAAATCAACCTCACAAATTTTTGGACAAAAATCTCGGCAAACAAGGAAAAACTAAAACTCTATTTCGGACTTAAACCAAAACCAAAAAAGTTAATAATCATTCAAGTGTTGTATATATTGTGTTTGCAAATAATTTTTTTATGTTCCATTCCCCGAAAAGAATAATGACAAAAAAAAAGTGATCTTGTGGAAAATGTAATAAAGAGCGTCGTCGTCGTCGTCGGAGATCGCAGAATACAGCAAGAATCAGGCGAGCAAAAGAGACGCCGCAGAACACGCTCACTCTCTCTCGCAATCGCACACAAAATACAAAATTCAAAATTTGCATAGTACAGTGAGCAAAAGTTTGAAACGATTTTTTGGTTGTTTCTTCAGTTTATTTTTGCCCCCCACCCCCACTTCTGTTGATTTGTGTTAAGAAAGCAGCAGACAAGCAGTAGAAGAAGCAAGAGGATCACCACCAGCAGCAGCAGGAGCAAAAATGCGCATATAAAGTAAGCAAAAGAACGAAAGAGGAACCACATGGAGAAGGAGCTGAATATCTTTTTTTTCGAGTGGTGTGAAAGAATCTACAAACAAGTTACAAGCGACATTTCTCAAATGTAAAAACCATAATTTATATTTGTATTTTCTTAAGAATTTTCGCAAAAAAGTGAAATAAAAAGTGCAGCAAAAATGAAAAGAGAACTCGAACCAAAATGAATGCAAAGAACAGTTAGATGATGATTGTCCGTTTGTGTGTGTGTACAGATGTGTGTGTGATTGTTTTTTCTTGTTTTTTTTTTCTGGCCTAAAACAATTAATAATCGAATCAAATAATTTAATTATTTGCAGTTCCAAATACAACAAATGATAACCAAAAATTATTTAAAGCAAAATAACAAACAAAACGAACGGTAAAATAAAAAACCAACGAACAGCAACAAGCTAAAACAAAAAAAACAAAATCTAAAGAAGAGGAGGAGGAGGAAAAAGCCAGGCGAGGATGCAAGCCTAGGCCGGATCCGCACAAGGAGAAGCAGTAGTGTTTAAGCAGTTCAAGCATCAGCACGCACGGCCACATGAGCAGCACACGCAGCCGCAGCCCAAGCAGTAGAAGCAGCAGAAGCAGCAGCAGCAGAAGACACAACAGCAACAGCACGAGCACGAGCGATACGCCGTTGACTTATGTAGCGGTACATGGCGAGCATCAAAAGTGAAATGCCGCCACTGCATGCGGCAGAGGCTCTGGCCTCAAGCAGCGCCACAGACAGCGGCGGCGGAGGAGGAGGAGGAACAGCAGCTGGCAGCGGCGGCAGCGGCGGCAGTGGTGGGACAGGAGCAGCCGGCGGCGGTATTAACAGTGCCCCGGCCACCCCAAATGCCACAATAAGCGCCGCAGCCGATTCCAGTGATAACCAGCCCGGCACACCGCAGCCACCCCAGCAGCAGCAGCAGCAGCCGCAACAACAACAGCAGCAGCAGCAGCCACAGCAGCAGCAACAAACGCAGCAGCAGAGCATGGCCACGGATCCACAGGTAACGGGCATTACCCACCAGCCCTATGCCACCCATCACATGTACTCCGCCAGCGGCCAGCCCCAGCAGCAGCAACAACAACAACAGCAGCAGCAGCTGTAGCAGCAGCTGTACGGCGGCATCTACGGCGGAGAAATGCAGCAGCAAAGTTACACCAGCAGCTACATCAACAGCTACGAGCAGTTCTACCAGCAGCAGCAACAACAGCAGCAGCAGCAAAGCAGCGACTATAGCTTTGGCGGTGGTCTGGTGGGCGGCGGGGACTTCAGCAAGCATGCGGCACAGAGCTCAGGGGTGCGGTACCATCCGTACCTGCAGACGCCGACATCGGCGCTACCCAGCGCCGCGGAGGAGGCGGTGAGTGCTCCCAGTGCTGTGAGTACCACCACATCGGCGATGAGTCCGCGTGTCGTCAGCAGCAGCAGTCCCACATCGACCTCATCGCACCTCCAGCTGGGCGGAGGACCACCCGGTTCTCCCAGCGGAGCCGGCGGCGGAGGGGGCTGCAAGTTGCAGTGCAAGAAGTGCGGCATTCTCACCACCAACGAACAGGAGCTGCAGGAGCACATCGCCAATGTGCACGGAGAGTCGCCGTACGGGAGCAGCGGGTACGCCAGTTCGCCGTACATCAAGGAGGAGATGCCCACCCCTCAGCCACCGGGCGGCTCCAATCCCGGAGAGCTGCTCGACCTCGACTCGCAAAAGATGGTCTACCACCAGCAGTTGCTTCAGCAACAGCAGCAGCACCAGCAACAGCAGCACCAGCACGAGGCTGTCGTCGCCGGCCTGCCTCTGTCGCTGCCCGATCCCCTGCACTCCATGCAGTCCATGCAGCAGCGCGCCCTACACAGCTGGGAGCAGCCGCAGACGGGAGTCGGAGTCGGAGTCGAGGGCCTGCCGCCCTACATGCAACAGCAGCCGGGTCTCGGCCTTGGCGTTGGCCTCGGTCTGGGCGTCGGCGTCGGCGTCGGCGTAGAGAAGTCGCCGTACTACTCGCCCAAGCAGTCGCCCTACCACCAGGCGGGCGGAGGAGTCGGCGTTGGAGCTACACTCATCAAGCAGGAGTACGGCGGCCACGGGCTGATCAAGTCCGAGTATCCCGACTCGCAGCACTACGTGGACAAGTCGTTCGATCCGACGGCTGGCAGTGGTGGAGGAGTCGATCTGTGCGCCAATGTGGCCACCAGTCCGGCCGAGTTCCCCAGCACTACGACGGGCGGACCGGGCCAGGATGGGGCCCCGCCAGCGGTGGCCGGGGGCCAACAGGCCGCCTACCGTGGCTTCGAGCCGCCCAGCTCAAGCTCCGTGCTGCCGGCCAACAGCCTCACGGCCAAGGCGGCCACCTGGAAGTCGAATGAGGCGCGCAGGCCCAAGACATACAACTGCACGGCCTGCAACAAGTGGTTCACCAGCTCGGGACACCTCAAGCGTCACTACAACACAACGCTGCACAAGAACGCGGTCAAGTCGAGCGGCCAGCCGGATCCAGCCACGCTGCCCATTTCGGCGCACCATCATCCGTCGCGCGATCCCGTAACCAAGCCAAGTCGTCGCGGGAATGCCGCCGCTGCAGCTGCGGCCGCTGCAGCAGCTGCCGCGGCCGCTTCGGCGGTGCCGCAAGTACAACCACCACCGCCGGCGAATGTGCAACCACCGGAGCCGCCTAGAAGTCCGCCCGATTATGGCGGTGGAGGCGGGGTGGGAGCGGTGGGTGGCGCTGCCATGTCCCAGTACTCGGCCTCGCCATCGCCCACCACGCAGCAGCAGCACCATCAACACCAGCTCCAGCAGCAGCAGCAGCAGCAGGCCAACGGGAACGGGTATCCGGGTAACGGCGGCGCCAATGGCTACGGCTACGGCATGCAGCAACAAGTGCAATCCACGACAAACGCTTCACCACAGCACGCTTCCAGCCATCAGCAGCAGCATCCGCATTCGCATTCGCAGCAGCAGCATCTTCAACAGCAGCAGCAGCAACAACAGCAGCAGCATAGCAGCAGCAACAACAACAACTCCGTTTTGAACGGTCACCCAAACGGGCTAGCAGGTCCCTCCGCCCCACTCAACACCAACAACAACAACATCACACAAATGCCGTCCTCCCAAATGAGGGGCCTGCTGAACGAAACAACAACAACCACCACCCCCAAAACCACCCCAACAACAACAACAACAGCCACAATGCCAATGGAAACGGAAGCAATGGCAGCTATAAAGATCGAGCATCTGGAGGACAGCAACCACACACACAACAGCCACAACAGCCGCAGCAGCAGCTTAATGGCCATGGAGGAGGAGCAGGATCAGGAGCGGGAGCGGGCAGTAGATCACCTACAGCAGCAGCAGCAGCAGCAGCTGGAGCAGCAGGAACAACAGCAGCAGGTCAGCTATCTGCTGGCATCGGCGGCATCCCGTCCCTACAGCTCCAACAGCAACAGCAGCAACACGCCCAACACGGCGGTCAGCAGCAGCAGCAACACCAGCAACACCAGCAGCACCAGCAGCAGCAGCAGCAACAACAACAGACTCTCGCCCCTTACTATCTACCATCTTCAGCAGCAGCCGCCGCTGCGGCAGGAGCAGCAGCAGCAGCAGGCAATGGATTTCTCGCGCACCACCCCGCCGCCGCAGCTGCTGCCGCCTATGGGAATGGGCCAGCCGCAGCAGTCGCTGCTGCCGCCTATGGGAATGGACTACAACATGCTGGCTTTGGATATGCCCATGCCCATGCACATGCCCATGCCCAGCAGTATGCTGCAGTGCAGCAGCACCAGCACCACGCCGCTAGCTACTATCACCACCACCAGTATGGACACTATGCAGCAGCAGCCGCAGCAGCTGGTGCACCACTACCAGGCGCTGCTCCACCCCCACCACCAACATCAGCAGCAGCAGCAGCAGTTGGAGGAGCAGCAGCAGCAGGAGGAGGAACAACAACAGCAGCAGGAGGAGGAGCATCATCACCAGCACCTACAGCAGCAGCAGCAGCAGCAGGATCCGGGGGCACTAATCCTATCTCCGGACAATATGCCACACAGCAGCAGTTCGCCGGGCACCAGCAGCTCTCCGCCGCCGCAGCAGCTGCAGCAGCAGCACACGCACACCACCCTCACCATGCCCATGCCCATGCCGCCCACCATGCACATGCCCATCACCACCACAGCGCCGCAGCTGCTGCCGCTGCAGCTGCAGCCGCCGCCGCCGCACATCACCAACACCATGCCCATGCCGCCCACCATGCACATGCCCATCATGCCGCCGCCGCCGCCATGCTACCAGCAGCTGCAGCCGCTGGATCCCACAACGAGCTATCACACTATTATTGGTAGTTCCGTCGCCGAGTCCGGCTACACCACGAACGGGCATCACAATCCCCACGCCCATGCCCACGCCCACCCCCACCAGATCACGACCAGCGACGGCCAGGTCCTGCAGCTGATGCCCGCCTCCCTGTTCGCCCCCTATGCCCCGCTCTCGCCCTACTCGACGGTGGCGGCCCAGCGATCGCCACAGGAGGGGGACCTGCCGCCGGTGCACACCCTGACGACGGCCCTCCAGGCCCACGCCCAGGCACAGCAAGAGCAGGCGCACACGCCCACGCTTACGGTGCTCAGCACCCCCTACTCGCCCACGGTGAGCAGTTCGCGGGCCACGCCCGCCCTGGAGATGGACATGGCCACACTGCTGCAGCAGCAACAACAGCAGCAGGACTACGAACTGGAGCAGTACCAGCACCAGATTCAGCAGCATCAGATGGACCAGCTGCATCACCACCAACAGATGGAGCAGCAGCAGGCCCTGGAACAACAGCAGCAGCAGCATCAGCAACAGCAACAGCAACATCAACAGCAGATGCAACTGGTGGAGATGGAACAGCAGCAACAGCCGCCGACACAAACGGTGGCACAGTCGGTGCCGAAAAAGCGAAGAGGAACGGCCGCCGCCACACCATCCACAACGAAGCGGCGACGCAACAGCAGCGTGAGATCGACATCGCCGCACTCGACAACGCTGCCATCCGGGCGGATCAAGTGTCTGGAGTGCGACAAGGAGTTCACCAAGAACTGCTACCTCACGCAGCACAACAAGAGCTTCCACTCCGGTGAGTACCCCTTCCGCTGCCAGAAGTGCGGCAAGCGCTTCCAGAGCGAGGACGTTTACACTACACACCTGGGCCGGCACCGCACCCAGGACAAGCCGCACAAGTGCGAGCTCTGTCCGAAGCAGTTCCATCACAAGACAGATCTGCGGCGCCACGTGGAGGCCATACACACGGGCCTCAAGCAGCACATGTGCGACATTTGCGAGAAGGGCTTCTGTCGCAAAGATCACCTGCGCAAGCATCTCGAGACCCACAATCGACCCCGGGTTGTGGGCAAGAAATCTGCTGCTGCCGCCGCAGCCGCCGCTGTTGTGGCAGCCGCTGCAGCAGCAACAGCAGCCTCGCAGTCTCAGCAGCAGCAGCAACAGTTGGTGACTACCGTTCTATCCACCCTTCCCGCCTCTGACACGCCCACGGCCATCAATCCCATTAAGGCGGCCTTTGCCCGCTCCCTAACGGTGACGGCCGTGTCCGCATTGTCGCCCCGCACCACGCCCACCTCCAATCCGCATCTGAATGCCAGTCTCAGTCTCAATCTGAAGCGATCCATCGACGATGTGGCCGCCGACGATGACAGCCTGCTGGAGGACGATGAGGATGAGGAGGAGGGGGAGGAGGAGCTGCTGCTGGACGAGGCTGAGGAGGATCAGATGGTAGAGCAAATGGAGGCGCAGCAAATCCTGTTGGTCACTGCTGCCGCAGGGGACAGTCACCATCTGCTGATCAAGGACGAGTTTCCCGAGGAGGAGTACGAGTTGATTGAGAAAGATATTGAATTGTATTGAAAGGTCAGGATCAAAGATCAGGGATCAGGCATCAGGGACTAGGATCAGATCGGATTTGTGGGTTTAGTAAGTTGTTAAATGCTCTGAGCTTTGTGGCAAACAAAGAGAGAGAGACAGTTTGAGCCGCACTGCAGTTTGAGGGCTAGCCTAGCGAATGCAGTCCACTCCCCCTACAGCTGCACTGCAGTCCAAGCAAGCAGTACACGGACGACCTACAGTTTTGGTGCCACTGCACAATTTCAAATTTTAACATGATTTTGTGCTTAAAATGTCATTTAATACGCGCACTGATATGGTTTGATCATTAAGAAAACACATTTTATTGCCTGGCAGGCAATAATTTGCTGTTTTTAAATGTATAATTTATTTAAATTTTGTTTTTGATCACCAAAGCCGCAGCATTTCAATGACTTGACTGCCAATCCCCCCCACCCCCCTCCTAAACCCATTAAACACTCCAGAACTCCACAATTCATTCCTGTAATTAGCGATTGCCATATATATAGTGAAAAGTATCTCGCCAGAGAAACGAAAAGAACGAAATGCAGAGAAAAGCAAGAGAATTCCTAATTGTTGTAGCAGCAAATTATTTAATTTTACTCGTATGTTAAATGTTGTATTATTATTTGTACTCTACGCCCTACGCCCTATTATAATTTGTAATTTTAAAAAACACTTATAATTTGTATGTGAAATGATAACAAAAACAAAACCTCCAAGTATACCTCAGCAACACAGCAGCAAACACCGAAATGAAACGCTTACACCAACAGGGCGCCCCGCGTATATGTGTATATACTCCCAAAACATATACATATAATATATATACAAGTATATAAAACATGGGATATTCCAATTGTACTTAATTTTAGAGCATATGTATGTATTTTTTTTTTCGAATTTTATTTTGTAATAATTGTTTGATAATAATATAATTTGTCTTTTGATTTGTTTTGTAATCGAGAGAGATAGTGAGAGGAGGAGAGGAGTATAGAAAGAGAACCACAAATGCCATATACACGATATGTACACTAAAAAGCAGCAACTAAATGCCAATTGATATATATACTATATCTAGATACTAGACATACATACATATACCATATACCTTATACATATCCATGTGTATTTGTTAGCCTTAAAAACGCCAAATGCGATAAATCAGGGATATTATACCATATAGAAAGCCACACACACACAAACACACAAACACACATACACACACTCAACACACTCATGTTGAGAGGCGTATTATACAGCTATATATATATTTAAATATATATAGACAGATAGATAGATAGATACAAACCTATATATTTATTACGTTTAGTTGCCCCTAATTTATGTTTCACGAATAAAACCATTTGTAATTATTTAAACTTTTCATTTACTTGTAATTTCCCCTCCCCACCCCCACAAAAGCAGAAAGCATCCCCACGTTCCTCATGTGCCCCCTACCCCCTCCCCCTGCTCGTAGATCTTGTTTATTATTATTATACAATTATTTTTTTTTTTACATAATTGTTAACCTACTTAACGCTTTTCCTTTTGGCACGCCTTCTAAGTATTTTTTTTAAATGACAAATATAAACGACACAAAAAAGAAACAAAAAAAGTGAAAATTACAAAATTTATGTTTTTATTATTTCAATAATTTGAATGGTTGGCATTTTGGTTTTCAGTTTGGTTAACCGTCGTTGGAGCTTAACACAAAGGACCTTAAACATCTTAAATACATTCCATGGATATATGGATAATATCCGCTTCATCTGCTCCTTACAAAGAAATGAAATATAGGTTTTTTTTAGCGAAGCAAATTATTTGGCCTATTTTCCTGCCTAAACATTCATTAACATTTCTTTCATACATAGCTTTTTAACTTTAAGCTATACTAGATGTCGTCTTATGTTTCTGCTTTACTCTTTCTTTCATTCGGAGTATGCTCTTACTTCCATCTTTACTTCTTCTTTTAAAACTCGAACAATATTCTAATTAAATTTTATTTTTTTTCTCATATAGGGAAGCAACCTTTATTTATTTGTATGCATTTTTTGTTGGATTATTATTTTTGTAAAATGTAGATTCAAGGTTTGAATAATTTCTGCAAAGACTTCCATTCTGAAAGATCTACAGATGAAAAGGTTCTTTGAAATATTAAATTGAGGAAAGGTTTCATAGTTTCATACAAAAAAGAACTAACTCTTGATTCAATCTCAACATATTTTTATTAAATTTGTTTTGCTTTTTGTTGAAAGTTTTCATTTTGAATATACAGAATGTACCTCAGATGTATGTTTAGGATTATTATAAGTACCCTTAATCATTTATTTTAGTTTCATTTGAGCACAAAAACCCTACCAGATTTTGTTTATATTTGACTATAATTGTTTATTGAAGGGAACACGTTCTTGGTGATCCCTGGACCCATTCCCTTCTGACCATACAACTTTAAGTAAATGTTTTTTTTTTGTTTGTGGCTCTTTTGTTTTTCTTAATTATTTTTGTAGAAATTCGTTGTTGTTGTGGTTTCAGTTTTCTGTGTTCGCCTGCTAGTTCCAAAGAAATTACGTGCGTGTCTTTAATATCTCTTCTCCTTTGCTGTCGCTGCTCTCTCTCTCTCCCTCTCTCTCTCCCTCTCTCTCTTTCTTTGTATCTGTCTATATCTCTGCTCTTGTGTTGCTCTTCAGCTGAGGTTGAGAATCTCTGAGAACTCTGAAGTTCAGGCGGGTTTTGGTTTGAGGCACAACATTTTTGCGAAGAAAGAAGCGAAGAAAAAGATGGCGAGAAGTAAGGAGGAAAAAAAATACAAGACACGACAAGAAACATGTGTAGATACAAAGATACGGATATATGTATGCATGTGTGTGTGTGTTTTAGTGCAGGAACTGGCTTCCCTTGCCCGGTGTGCGATCTGCGCACATCCTTGAGGATGTAAGGAGGAACAAAGGACTCCCCGTTCCGTTGGTTTCGCTGCCGATCTTTGTGCTATCCTTGAAAACTGCTTGCGGGAAAAAGCATTTCTATGGCCATAGCCAGGATTTCGCCGATGCTGCGAGGCTGGCAAAAACATCTCACGCACACATGTTGCATGTATCTCAACTTCTTTGTGCTTCTCTCTCCGGCTGTCCCTCAGGCGGGGAGGCAGTAAACTGTGGACTGAAAACGAAGACCATGCTGAGGGGCAAAGAAGCTGTGGAGAGTAGGCGCGGCGGCAGGCGGCTAGCAACAACAGAGCGAATTGTATGAAACACACACATAAAATAGACAAGCCACACAGTGCGTGCCTAAAGTATACGACCCAAAAACCCATTTATTCAAATGATTTAACCGCTGCCTGTGTGGGCATACCTATAGAGCTGGGGATGCTGGAATAAGCGAAATGAATGTTCTCTTGCGGGGATCTGTCCATCCCAAGAATCCGAGTCCAGGAGACAATCGGGCGAGAAAGTGTTTAACGGATATGATTGGGAAAATCTTTAAGCTGGCTAAGGGAACTACAGTGCGATCGCTGTACAGTTTTTGTGTCCAGCTCATGGTATCTCTTATTGTTGGGGGCACCAGTCAGCAGCCGCCAGCGCCTCCCCATTCAGTTCTAATGCTGGCGAAACGCACTGTAGTTTGTGCCAGTGCCAGTGCCAAGTTGTATCTCGACGATACACAATTGACGGAGCGACACGAAGCTGGCGTTGCGCATGTGCGGCAGCCGCAGCAACAGCAACAGCAGCAGCAGCGGCGGCGTGGCGGCTATGTCATCATAACGCTCTGTCCGTCGTCTTTCTCTTCCTCTTATTCTCCTTTCAGTGTGTGTATGTTGTGTGTGTGTGTGTGTATCTTCTACACTCGATTCTCGTTCGTGCGTTTTTCTTGGTTTTGTTTGTTGAACATAAAAACTGGTTTCCTGTACATATGCTCATCCAGCAACAAACCATCTGTAATTTTAATTTTTCGGCAACGATGTTGCCCTCTCCGTCTGCCACACACACACACTCTCCTTCACACTCTCTCTCGCTCGCTCTTCTCCTTTGCTGCCTTCTATCTTCCTCTTGCCTCCTCATTTCGTTTTCGTTTTCTTTTATTTTTTTTATTTCGGCAGAGATTTTGATCGGTTGTTGTCCAGGTAGAAATTGTCTACCTCTGTGGCTCGTATCCGTGCACACCGTGTGTGCGGTGTGTGTGTGCGTGTGTGCGTGTGTGTATCTTGTAGATACCTTGAAAAGACAGTAGAGTAGATCTCCTTCTCTCGCTCGCTCGCTCGCTCGCACGCACACATCCCAGTGTGTAATCCTTGAAATGTGCTCTGGCCTCTGGCTCTGGCTGTGGCTCTGCCTTTGTGCGGTTCTTTCTACTTCTCGTATTCCCTTTTCGGGTTTTTCTCTCATTCTGTTTCTCCTTCGATGCGAGTATATGTATATACAGCGTTAGCACTTACCATGATTCATAGTTATACACAGGCACAGGCACAGCTACAGATACAAATGCAGATACAGCAACAGCAACAGCTACAGCTACAGATACATAAATATATAGCGGGATGGATAGTGGTATGTATCCGCTAAAGGAAAAGAAAAAGAATCTTCCTTTGATTCAAGCCAAACAAAAATTGTACTGAAAAACAGAAAAAAAAAAACCTTCTCGTTGAATAGTTTCATCCTCGCCTTACCAGGCTTTTGTCTCTAATGGGTTGGGGGGAGGTAGAAAAGAGAGTAGCGAAGAGGTGAGCTAGCAGGAGTGGAGGAAAGAGCAGAGACAAAAGGTGAGAGGTGAGAAGAGAACAAGAGTAAAAAAGGAGCAGAGAGTAGGGGTAGGAGTGGATCTGCCCCACAGGGAAAACAAACAAAAGTTCCTTCTTCATCTGTCTCTCTCTCTCTCTCTCCCCTTTCGTGCTATATGATCGATGTGCAAATTGTGGAGTTCTCTTCTTCCCCCCCTTTTCCCCATAACAAAAGCACTTCTCCCCCCCCCCCTCTGCATGTCTCCAGTTCCACAAACATGTGTTAAGATGGTCTCACTTCCTTGCTGCTGCTGTCATTCTCATTCTCTTTCTGTGTGTGTTTTTTGCTGCTGTTGTTGTTGTTTTTTTGTGGCTTGTGTTTGCTCTCCGTCCGGGGATTTGGTTCGTATAACGGGTCTTTTGTATTTGGCATTCTCAGGACCCTCCCCAGGGCCTTCCCCAGTTACCCAAAGTAAAGTTCTATAGTTATCTGCAACGAAAATCAATTGATTCTGTAATCAGAGTAAGAAGTCGGATAGCCTTAGATTCCTACATGTACCTATGGATGTACATATACCCACATCACAATCCCGAATCGGGAATATTAACCTTTAAGTTGTTCGGGGAACCTCTTTTCATCTTCCAATTGCTGTCAAACTATCTGATAAATAAGTTAAAGTTGAGTTAATCTAAAGATACA